CTTTGCAGCATCAGACTTCCCTTTCACTTCCAGGCGCGTCCGCAGCTGAGCATCCTTTCGGCTTTGGCCCAACCACTTCATTAGCTCTGGAGCTACTTGTACTTGTCCTCCGCTCTTCCTCAGTAGCATGTTGGACGCCTTCTGACCTGAGGGGCTCATCTTTCAGCATCATATCTTTTAGCCTTTTGTTTCTGCTCATGGAGTTTTCTTGGAAAAGATACTGGAGTGGCTTGCCAGTTCCTGCCCCAGGTGGATTGTGTTTAGTCAGAACTCTGCACTGTTAACTGTCCATTTTGGGTGTCCCTGCATGGCATAGCCCATAGCTTCTCTGAGTTACTCAAGCCCCTTTGCCACAACAAGGCAGCAAACCATGAAGGGGACTTATTAGATTAGTCAAGCTTTAGAAATAAGCCTCCAGACCATTGCTAGTTTGCTGAGGGTTAACAATGGCTATAGAGCTACATATCTAAAATGAGCCGGTAAGAAGGACTTCTACTTTCATTTGGTTTCTATGCTGAATGCAGACGAGATGTGGTATACCCCAACTTTTCTTTATAAGCATGGAATTCTGTGCATTTATTTTCACTTCCATGGAATTCCCAGTTGGTCAAGTTATTTTTCCAAAACAAAACTGGATAGCCCCTTTGCAAAAATAATTAAACTGACTTTTAAAAAAGACCCAGATTTGACAAATTTTTATAAAATCCTATTTGTTAATGCTTAAAGTATAGGTGGCAACCATTATCTTCTTGTTCCCCCTTATATTTTCTCACATATGACAGAAGCAAGTGGAGTCACAACAACATAGTGAGTAGGATTCTTGCATTTATGGACATATATTTAATTGTTTAATTAGTTAATCTACTAAATACGGTAGTTACGCTCTGCTGTGTAACTGTTAATGTTAAATAAACACAATACGGCTTTTAAATAAACATATGTAAAGTAGTAGGGACTTGATGCCACTGCTAGAAAATTGGCAGTTCCAGTGTTAAAAAGAACAAGTTCAGAAATGTGTTTTTGCATGTTAATGATAATGACCTGTAATACAGAGCCCTAAAGCTAGATCTTTCATTAAGTTTATTGTATTTTTCTCTGGGTAGACACATTTCCAGTGGATATCATAACCTCATGATATCCAAATGGCATCCTCTAATCTATTAAAAGACACCCTCTAATCTAGGATTGCCGAGTGATATTATAAAATAGGAGGCACCCTTTTGACTATGATGAAAGTGATTTGTTCTAATGTTTTTTGCTGTTCTTTTAAACCAACAAATTGGAGAAATACACCAAAATCTAATGTTTTCCTAACTGCTTATGTCTTGCATGATATTATTTTCTATCATGATCTATGACTTCATTGGCTGTATGTTGAGTCTTCCAATTCTAGCTTGTTCTCCTACAAGAGAAGGCCCTCCATGCTTTATAAACAAGATACCCAGTATTTTCTAAATATTTCCTAAATACAATAAAGTGCTACTTTTCTCTGTGAAAAAAAAAGGATCTAGAAACTTGTATTTGGGCATTCCTGGCCTTTTGACAATGAGATGGCATTGCAGAAACTTTCTGTGGCCCCTCAATGGAGACGTGTCTGACCCCCAAATGGTGAGGGAGGTTCCCCTGTTCTGACTACTTTTTGGAATGAAATATCACCAGACCACTTAGGCTTTCTCCTATTTGTACTTCCAGTTTCGTTTATTCGTTTAGTCATGTCCGACTCTTCGTGACCCCATGGACCAGAGCATGCCAGGCCCTCCTATCTTCCACTGCCTCCCGGAGTTGGGTCAGATTCATGTTGGTTGCTTCGGTGACACTGTCCAACCATCTCATCCTCTATCGTCCCCTTCTCCTCTTGCCTTCACACTTTCCCAACATTAAGGTCTTTTCCAGGGAGTCCTCTCTTCTCATGAGATGGCCAAAGTATTGGAGCCTCAGCTTCAGGATCTGTCCTTCCAGTGAGCACTCAGGGTTGATTTCCTTTAGAATTGATATGTTTGTTCTCCTTGCAGTCCAGGGGACTCTCAAGAGCCTCCTCCAGCGCCACAATTCAAAGGCATCAATTCTTTGGCGGTCAGCTTTCTTTATGGTCCAGCTCTCACTTCCATACATCACAACAGGAAAAACCATAGCTTTGACCAGGGCCGGACTGGCCATCTGGCAGTTCTGGCAAATGCCAGAACGGCCGATGGTCAGAACGGCCGGTACTGGACATAGCGGCCGAAGCCGAGGAGGGGCAGGGCGCAGAAGGCAGCGGCCAGGCCGGCGGCGGCCAGCAGGGCTGGGGCTCGCCATCGGGTGCCCAGCAGGCGCGCGTACAGGTAGGGCGCCCCGAG